ACTAAAATGCCCCTTGGGCTACAATAGCTACCAAATACCCATAAGGGTAAAAACGGAAAAACATAAAATAAAAATAAACTACTACATAAAATGATGAAAATACAAATCATGATCATGGCCGTCGATCTCCGGCATCTCCTGAAGGTAAATGTGTCGAAATCGCTGCTGATGTCCGCATCAATACATTAAGAGGCTTTTTTGTCAGGACGATGGTGAAGGGTTTTGGTCCGATTGTACTTAAGTAGCAGCTTGTGATGGTCTTATGGTAGCTGGGGCCTTGTTGTGTTGCTGTATTAGTTTTGGAATTTTTGCCCTATTTGAGTCTTGTTTTCTTATATAGTTTTTATTTCCTTTTTATCTTGTTGTCTTTGTTAAGTTGGTGTTGTAATGAGCATTGTTGATAATTGACTTCAACTCGAGGCCCATCTTCTTGTTTTTGGGTTGAGTTCAGGTCCAAGTTGAAACTGATCCGTGCTCGATCATCCAACATGAACTCGACCCGATTATATGAACGGGTTATGAATTTGAACCCGGACCCAACCCACCCCAAACTCGAGTCGACCTGACCCAACACGATTGACCTTGGTAAACAGAGCATGCGCGTGCAACGCGACCAACGGGGCGCGAACGCGAGGTGAGCACAGGACAGGTAAAGGAGGTGAGCTATGCATCATATGGGGGACATGTGGGCAAGGCGAGCTGCACGTCGTGGTAATGCGGTGTGACTGGTCTGCCAACGAGGAGGGTACGAGCAGGAAGTGCAATCGGGTCATTTCGGGGTTGGCGGGTTGACCTAGTCACGACCTGATTTTTCAAACGGGTCAAATATTAAAACACGAATTTGACCAGTTTATTAAATTGATTGATTTGAAACTGAATTTTTTGGGTTATATTTTTAAATAGTGTCAAATATTAACACCTCTAAATTGAGTTGTATTTTGTGTATTGTTTTATTCATAATATAGTAAAGAAAAGGGCTCTGCCCTCAAATTTACTTAAAATAAAAAGGGAAAATTTTAAGACTAAGCATGATTATAAATTATATTAAGAGCTTAAGCATGTTTTTAAAAAAAATTTAAAAATAGGCAAAGTCGCCCGTTAAACGGGCGACTTATGCTTTGACTAGAATAGTCAAGATCCGACGTGGTGATGATGTGGCGAGATTAAATCGCCCGTTTAACGGGCGACTTTATGCTAATACTTTAATTCCCAAAATCCTTCCCGATCTCATTTCCTTCGCTTTCCCCTTGAGTGCGAGGCGAGCACAGGACAGGTAAAGGAGGTGAGCTATGCATCATATGGGGGACATGCGGGCAAGACGAGCTGCACGTCGTGGCAATGCGGCGTGACTGGTCTGCCAAAGAGGAGGGTACGAGCAGGAAGTGCAATCGGGTCATTTCGGGGTTGGCGGGTTGACCTAGTCACGACCTGATTTTTCAAACGGGTTAAATATTAAAACACGAATTTGACCATTTTATTAAATTAATTGATTTGAAACTGAATTTTTTTGGGTTATATTTTTAAAAAGTGTCAAATATTAACACCTCTAAATTGAGTTGTATTTTGTGTATTGTTTTTTTCATAATATAGTAAAGAAAAGGGCTCTGCCCTCAAATTTACTTTTAAAAAAAAACCCCATATATAGCTTATTTTATGAACAATTCCTCTGCTTCGGTTAACACTTAACAGATGAGAGATAATCGAACAAGATAAATTGCTCCATAGATGGAGTAATTATTACGTCCGGACAAAAAATTGAAAATTCGGATGTATATCGAGTGCTTAATATCGAGTTTCAGATGACGTGGCGCGTGATTATTGATCTTTTCCTAACGTACCAATTGCTCCGTAGATGACTGACAGTGACTGATCATTGGCCCTTATGGCATAGCTTATCTCTTTGGAGAGGTTGACTTCTGAGAACCAGATGAGGCAAATTCTTTCATAAATGAAAACAAATTCAGAACTTCAAGTCATTAGGTAACGGTCAGCTTTAATATATATTTTTTAATTTAATTCTTATCACTCTTAATTGGAGACTAACTTAATTTTTCTGTCATAAATTAGAGAGATTATTAGTTGTAGATAATGAAAATGTAGGTGATGCATTTAATTAATCAGTAGAATTAAAAAAATAGAATATTAATTTTTTAGAACTATAATCTTTGAGCATATATTATAAAAAAAAATATTTTTGATTAAATTTTTTTTAAATGGTAAGAAAATTATATCCTACTAATTTTCTGAAAAAGAATTACAAAAGAACTGCCTTGAACGGATTCTGGATTTTCTCGCAAAGCACAAAAGTTAGTATAAACTTGCAAGGATTTGCATTAACTAGCAAAAATAAACCCCAGAAGCGGCAAAGTAAGAAGTTCTGAAACGTACAAACGTAAATGTTTGTCATTTGACCGTTCGGGACCTGCAAGTAAGCTATACTCTTACCCGCCAGGAACAACAGCTCCAGAAACTGGCTAAGAGGTGGCCTCTCCAATGGAAATCCACCATCTCCAACTCCTCTTCTTCCCTACTCCACCTAAGGTGGAATTCCACTCAATCTTTTGCCGCCCAAGACGCAAACTTTGGGCTAAGCTTCCTCGCCGACCATCAGAACCCCGAAATCTCCCTCTTTTATTCCAAAGGCTTCTCGGAGATCTCCTGCCTATTCAACGGAAGGGCAATTCATTGCTTATGTTTAAGAAACTCTTGTAACCTCAGCGTCTTCCACACCAACACTCTCATCAACCTGTACTTCAGGTTTGGCAAGCCATCAATTGCCCTTAAGCTGTTTGACAAAATGCCTCTTAAAAATCATGCATCTTGGAATACCGTTATTTCAGGGTGTGTTCGAGCAGGCTGGTCTTTCATAGCAGCGGAGCTCTTTCAGAAGATGAGGAAAAAGGGGGGAAAGCCCGGTGGTTTCATGCTTGCAAGCCTTGTGACTGCTTGTAATCATGACGAAGAGATGGTTGATCAAGGAATCCAAATCCATTGTTTTGTGGCGAAACTTGGGCTGATGAGTAATGTTTATGTTGGCACTGCACTTTTGCATTTATATGGAAAAAATTTTCTATTTTCTGATGCTTGGAGATTCTTCCAGGAGATGCCAGAGAGGAATGTAGTGACTTGGACTGCATTGATGGTGAGCTGCTCGGTGAATGAGCAGCCAATGGAAGCCATAACAGCTTATCAGAACATGAGAAGGGAAGGTGTAGTTTGCAATGAGAACTCCTATGCGACGGTGATCAGTTCATGCGGGCTTCTTGAAAATGAGAAGTTGAACCGCCAGGTGCTTGCCCATGTAGTGGTTTCAGGTTTTGAAGCTGAAGTATCAGTTGCTAATTCTTTGTTGACAATGTTTGGCAATATGGGTAGAGTAGAGGAGGCTGAGCAACTGTTTCACCGGATGGAAGATAGGGATACAATATCTTGGAATTCATTGCTTTCTATTTATACACGCGAGGGAATGTGTAAAGAGGCGTTGCTGTGCTTTTCTGAAATGCGACACAGTAATTTCAAACCTGATATGACTACATTGTCCTGTATGATTTCTGCCTGTGCTAGCGCTGATAATGTGAAGTGGGGAAGAGGGCTTCATGCTTTTGTTGTGAAGAATGATCTTGAACAATTCGTTTCTGTATGTAATACTTTAATAAGCATGTACTCCTTGTTGGGAAAAACTGATGATGCAGAGATTTTGTTTCGCGGAATGCCTGTGAAGGATGTTATTTCATGGAATACCATGATGTCTTCATACAATCAGAATGGAAACAACATTGGTGCATTGAAGCTCTTGTCAGAGATGCTTCAACTGAAAAAAGAATGTAATCATGTAACATTTGCTACTGCATTGGCTGCATGTGCAAGTCTAGAAGCTTTTTTAGATGGAAAAACGATTCATGCACTTGCAATATTCCTTGGTCTTCAAGATAATTTGGTGGTATGTAATTCGCTAATCACTATGTACAGCAAATTCAATGCCATGAGAGAGGCTGAAAGGGTGTTTCAAACAATGCCCAGATGTGATGTAATCACCTGGAACGCGCTTATAGGAGGATATATGGAGAATGAAGAGAAAAATGAAGCCATTCAAACGTTTAATCAGATGAGAAGAGCTGGAATCAGAGGAAACTACATTACTATTGTGAACGTTCTAGGGGTTTGCTCCACTCCTCATGACCTGCAGGACCATGGGAAAGCTCTCCACACTTATGCAATCTCAATTGGATTGGACATCAATGAGTTTGTCCTGAATTCTCTAATTACAATGTATGCAAATGGTGGTGATTTCGATTCCAGCGGCTTCATCTTTGATCAGATGAGCAGCAAAAATGTGGTCTCATGGAATGCTATGATTGCATCAAAAGCTCATCACGGCCAAGGGGAGGAAGCAATGAAGTACTTCAAGGAAATGTTTTCTGCGGGAATTGAGCTGGACCAATTTAGCTTTTCAGGAGGCCTTTCAGCAAGTGCTTGTTTAGCATCAAAAGGTGAAGGACAGCAGATCCATTGCCTGATCATTAAATTTGGATTTGATTCTGACCTTCATGTGATCAATGCTGCAATGGACATGTATGGAAAATGTGGGAAGATGGACGATGCTTTGAAACTAGTTCCTGAACCAAGTAAACGTTCAAGACTAACATGGAACATCATAATATCCTGCTATGCAAGATATGGTCAATTCATTGAAGCTGAGGATACTTTCAACAAAATGCTTCTGTTGGGTCCCAAGCCTGATTATGTTACCTTTGTTTCTCTACTCTCTGCATGCAATCATGCAGGACTAGTAGATAAAGGTCTCACATACTATAACCTTATGACTTACAAGTTTGGCATCTCTCCCAGAATAGACCATTGTGCTTGTATAATTGACCTCCTAGGACGTTCAGGGAGGCTAACTGAAGCAGAGAATTTCGTAGAAGAGATGCCAATCTTACCAAACAGTCTAATATGGCGGAGTTTGTTGTCAGCAAGTAGGACTCACAGGCGCTTGGATACCGGACAGAAAGCAGCAAAGCATCTTCTTCAGTTGGACCCTTTGGATGATTCAGCTTATGTTCTTCTAGCAAACGCATATGCGCTTAGTGGAAAGTGGGACGAAGTTGAGAAGTTGAGAGAATATATGAACTCCACCAATTTAAAAAAGAGACCTGCTTGCAGTTGGATCCAGGTGAAGAACAAGGTGAGTACCTTTGGCGTTGCAGACAAGGCCCATCCTGTAGCTAAAGAAGTCTATTCCAAACTGGAATGGATATTGCAAGTGGTTAAAGAAGCAGGTTATGTTTCTGATACTTCACAATCACTGCATGACACTGATGAAGAGCAGAAGGAATTTAATCTTTGGAACCATAGTGAGAAGCTTGCGCTGGCTTTTGGACTAATTTCTGTGCCAGCAGGGTGTACAATAACTGTATTTAAGAATCTGAGAGTTTGTGGGGATTGTCATCTGGTGTACAAATTGCTCAGCAAGGTTGTCGCTCGTGAAATTGTATTGAGGGATCCTTACAGGTTCCATCGTTTCAAAGGTGGGATATGTTCTTGTTCAGATTACTGGTAGAAGAGGAAGCTGTTAAAAAGAATAAGCCAAATTACTCCACTAAAGCTGATAATGCGAGCATTTGGCATCGAGTGCTGATGGGCTTAGAGCCTTAGAGCATTAGTTAGGTTCACTTTAGTGTAAGCCAGATATCCCCGGTTCGATTTTCAGTCAATATAGGGGTAAGATTATGCACCTCAATCTCTCTTTTGACCTTGCATTAAAGTGAACTATGGCTGTTCTTTTAGGGGGCAGAGTGAGGAATCGAACACGGGCTGCGGCATTGAAAATTTTCTTGCCATCACTCTGGCTGTGCCGAGAGATTATTAGGTGTGATGTCCGGACCGTCCGGAGGCAAATTCGGACGCGCCATATCATCCGGTTGCATTAGGCCCCGGGTGATGTAGGGCGTCCGGATTCGCCTCCAAATGAATCTGGATATCACACGTAATAATTTTCCCTCAACAACAGCTCTGGGTATTCTGAGCTGAAAATATTGGGTCATAGAGAAACTTTAGTGTTCTGATGGCTGAGAGTGGAGAAATACTCATGGTGGCAAAACTACTGGAACGGTGGTACTGCAGCTGCAGGATTTGAAGCTATAGTTGATTTTGCTGACTGATTCCTTGAACAATGATAAGCATTATTCAAAGTGATTGTTGTGATAGAGGAAACGTGGTGCAAATAGAGAATCATGGCTCAAAACCAGTGGGAAGGAAGCCTTGTTTGAAGCCAAATATTCTCTTAAAAAGCTGATTTTGTTTTGATAACTTTTTTTCCTTAATTTCTGACGTGGAAATATAAATTTATTTGAATATGTAATAGTCATTTACCTCTTGATTATTTATAGAAATATCAAATATCTATATTAAATTTAGGACATTTTGATTGAAAGTCAAAGCTTCCAATCAAGAGATCAAAGTGAACTACGTCATATATATCTTTTTTTTTGGGGAATGAGATATTCACCCGCTGCCATCCCCGAAAGGGCGCTTGACGGCATGCCCGTACTTGATTGGGCCCCACTTAAGAGGCGTTGCTGCCGCTCGAGGGAAATCGAGTACGGATTTGAGGGTTTCCAATCGTATTCGCCCACCAACCATTCCAAACATCGTGGGTGATATATCAATTTTAAATTTAGAATATTGAGCTAAAACTGGTAGCGGACCTGATAACCTAATTTGAATGACGAGATGATTTTAAAGATGAGGTTTTCTTTTTCAAAAGAAAAAATAATAAAGAAGGCGGAAAAAAAGAAATTTCTTATTTTCTTAGGGTTTATTTTATTTTAATATGAAAGAAAAGATATATATTATTTTGTTGTTTATGAATATAGAAAGTTAAATTATTTGAAATCAAACAAAGATGACCTATGAGGCAATGATGATGATGATAGGGATAAATTGACAATTGACCATGATATTTATTTTTTAAAATATTGAAAATCTCTCAAAAGATATTTTATAATATTATTTAAATACAATTTAATTAATTTTTAAAAACAAAACAAAAAATAATTAAAATATACTCTAAATAAAAAGAAAACTAATCTCGACGTCATTTGATTGTTGTTGCCGATTTTTTTTTTATTTCTCATAAATTTACAAATACAATGATTAAATTTTCAGATGAACTTTTATAATATAATAAATTTTAAATCATATAAAAAATATCACTAACATTAATTTATTTTAAATAAGTTGCACATCTTCATATATATATATTATAATTTAACATTAACATTATATAAGTCGATATAAAAATTTAAATGTGAGATCATAAATATATATAAAATTTAAGGGAAAGCATATAAATGCCCCTATATAAACGTAGAACATCCAATACATAAATCATGAGTTATGTGGAATATATAGTTCAAACTATAATATTATTACTTAATATAACTCTCAACAATGCATTAAAATATAGTTGATCTCATATCACAAATACATATTAAGGCTTCCCTTGAGATCGCTTTTTTACTGCTTTACTTTTCAAATCGTAATCATAGTCTTTGTTTGGCCAATGCTTTTTCATTGCTTTCAAAAAATATGCTATCAAGTCGTTTTTTATAGAGCATTCAAAAAAGCATTTTTCTCCATAGGAGTCTTATGGCTTCATTTAGGATAGGGGTGTCAATTTCGGGTCATGGGTCGGGTTCAGGTCGAGCCCGAAACTAACCCGGCACTATTCGAGTCAACCCGAACCCGAGTCTTTTTTTGAGAACGGGTCAATTTTCCTGACCCGAACCCAACCCGCTTCGGGTCCGAATCAACGCAACACAACCCGAATGACCTGTTTCCAACAAAAAATTGCTAGTTTTCAAGTAAAAAACGGGTCTATCTCCTCTGTTTTGGGTTAAAAAACGGGTCTATCTCCTCTTTTCCGGGTAAATCTCGGGTTGCCGGGTCAAAATCGAGTTTTCAGGTCAAAATCGAGTCAATTTCGGGTAAAAGTGTTAACCCGAACCCGACCCAATTTTTGAAACAGATCGAAATGTTGAACCATAACCCGACCCGTTTTGGAGTCGAGTTGACCCTAACCCAAAATTTTCAGGTCGGGTTCAAGTCGGATTTTCAGGTGGTGTCAAATATTAACACCCTTAATTTGGGACGACTTTTTTACTGTTTCTTAAAACAACTTTCTAATACAAAACTTTTAATTTTGTAAAAAAATCTGCTTTAAAAAAGCAATCCCAAACGGAAGTCTTAGACTTCATTTGAGAATGGTGCTCATATTAAATTATGCCCTCAGAGTCATATGGAGTCTCCATTTTTCATGCCACATGCAGATATTTATCAGTGTATGATGAACTTCTGTAACTTCGGAAAATTACTGGGTTGTTCTATACAAAAAAATGGGAAATCACCATCCAGGCCATCACAAGCAGAGATAGCAAGCTGCTTTAATAATCACACATTCTCCTAGTCTCTCACCACCAGAAACATTGGCAAAGGGTCAGTTATATTGTTATGGTATTACTTCACTTCAAAGATGTTCAGTCATGCATTGTTCACTGCTAATGCATTGATTTGAGTCGTTTATTATTTTCCCTCTCCATAAAATAATTTGCTCATCCTTGAACAGTATAGGAACACAAGGCACCAAATCCTGCAGTAAATTACATAATAATAACAATTAGGCACATTTATTGATGAGTAACAGCTATAACAAAATAGAAGAAATAGAAAGGAAGATAACTGCGAATTAGATTAATCTAACAGCCTTTGAGAATGTTAGGCTTCTTCTGGGACGGCTTTCTTACTGCTTTTTAAATCAATTTTTTAATATAAAACTTAAATTTTTTAACTAAAAAATTGCTTTAAGAAACAGTAAGAAAGTCATCCCAAATGAAGTATTAGCTATACATAAAACATTTGACTTATTCGGTGAATAAAATAAGGTTGTTGATGAGACCAAAGATTTCAACAATTTTCTCTTTCATCTATATTTAATCTGTTATCACAGTTCAGATAGAGAGAGGAGATTATTATATTTTATTTCTAAAATAAGAGAGAGAAGTAAATTTTGATGGATGATTACTGCAAATTCAAACTGTAAATATCCAAATTCTAATAACAAAAGTAAAGCATTGGAATACCCTTAGCTTCACACCAATCTTCTTGCAGTCACTGCTACCAGCATGGCTACAGTCCAGTCTCACCACCTCTAAAGTTTTGAAAGCCTCCCTGACTCTCTCCACAACATTAATATACACGCCATTCCTGGCTTAACACAGCAAACATAAAGATTATACACGGAAAGGAAAAAATAACGTATAACTGAGCTTGTAAGCCAATCTAGTTTCTATCTAGTCAAATGTTGAATTAAGTAATAAAAGAAAAATCCTGCTACAGCAATCAGAGGAAGAGAACTGAACGTATCTAACAGCACAGCTAAACCTCAGCTAACTTACAGAGCTTCATCAAAGAAGGGGAATTTAGCCCTTTGTTTCTCATTGCTTTGGTTTCCTCAAAGGTCAGGCCATCTGTAATACTTTTCACGAGCCTCGGATAAATTGGTGCCAGTGGCTTCCATAGCATTGGAGGTATAATTGGCCTATTTTCAGAATCATAGTTTCGACCACGATACAAGAGGAGCATGTTAATATTTCGATAGATTATTTTTCCACCTGTTTTATCCTGCCAGGGCCATAAAAATATTGCAGCCTTATACACTTGCATATGAAGTTCAGGAGTATTTCAATGCCAAAATATGCTTTTTCATTACTACCTCCAGGTGGAAGCAAATGTTGTCCATGTCTAGAGTTGGAACTCCAAGACACTTGATTCTCACAGCTTCAGCTCTTTTCCAGTGATTGTGGATGTCATCTATCATATTATGTGTTACACCACCTCTACCTAAAAGATACAAAATATAAACTGGCATGGATAAAGTTATGCAAAAAGTTTCATGCAAAATAGATTTTTAAGGCCACACGCAGTAATCAATATGAATTAATGGAGAATGATGATGCACAAAGCCACCATCAAATAGTTGTCAATATGATGATAAAGATGATATATGCTAGAACACTCATAACATAAAAAATATAAGTATAATTCAGTTATCGTGTATATATAACACTAGAAAATTATTTTTTAGAAGGATAGGAGCATGCATCCTCACAAATCTTCCATACATCCTTCAATTATTTAAAGGGAGATTACATACATACATACCACTTTATTTCATGCTATTACATATCTAACACCTAAAATTTCAATATTACATGTTTACCATCCATAAAACAAATATGAGTGCATGGAATGAAATATTAAAGTTTATATAGTGGTAAGAATGAAATATAGGAGTGATATATTTGATATTAAAATTTTATATGAGTGGTATGAATGTAATATTAAAGTTTTAGGTGTTAGATATATAAATAACATAAAATGAAGTACATATCTAACACCTAAAATTTCAATATTAAATGTCAAGGGGTTTAGGATTTAGGGTTTAAAATGTTGAGAATTAACCGTAGCTAAAAATCATTAGCAATATAAAAGGTAACCAAAAGTTATCTTTTAGATGCTTCAAATATTTTGATTAGTGGAAGATCTATAAAAAAAAAGATTTTATACATGTTGTAATGCCATTTATCCAAGTTTGAAACATGACAACACTTTTCTTTTCAGGTTTCAAAAAAATAAACCGTTCATTATGTCCAATGTAGTATAAGACAATAGATTTAGATTCTTTAAACAACCTAATTATAGCTACATTATGGTATTGATATTTGAATATCTCACATACTCAACTCTAGTTGTTGATATCTAAATAGTCCAAAAAGAGGAATGGCATGGTAAGCATCAGCTCTAATTTGGGTTGTACACAAATTGGATCCACATCAAGTCATCTAAATGAGCTATATGCCCCTTCAATGGGTTATATTGAACAAAAATATCTAAACCAAATTCATTCGAAGTTGATTAGGTGAAGCAGGCTCTATGCCCCATCAAATGTCATCTTAGAAACTAATTAAACCAAACTATATGCCCCTTCAATGGGTTGCTTTACCAACCAACCATGTAGTCTTAGCACAACCTTGACATGAGTAAAGCATACCTATCCCTAATGGAGTTTACTACAAATCCACCTCAAAGTTAACAAGCCCAAAACTTAAATCCTAAGGGAACCACCATGATTAAATGTTGCATCCTTGGTGGAGTCTTTCATGAAGCTTACACTTGGCTTCAAAATCAAAATCCTAGCAAGCTTCATTATTACTGGACAATTCAATCCCCACGGGCTAATCACTTTGCGCATAATGTATTCCTTAAGGATTTCCTCGCAAGCTAACAAACCGAAATGCCAACCTTTATGAAAAAATTCCCCTAGTTTATCCATTACACAACCCCTCAACATAAAATAATTGTAATTATCCATAGAGGGTCTCCCTATCAACAAACTAGCTCACATTAAATTCAATCCACTTATCTCTAATGAGTCACCCTATCGGCTGGCAACTTACACATATCAACCAATACGTCAACGTATCCAATCATTAGTCCAAAATTAAATAAAGTATAACATACACTATTTTCTTGATGATTATAACATGCATGCCAATCATAGCCAGAGAGAACAGTAACTTCACAAAAATAACCAAGCTATATGCACCCATGCTACACTTCGCTAATACCTTGATATTTTGGAATGATTCCCATTTCAACCTATCTCCTAACCCATTAAAAAACTCCATCGAACGAGAAAGAGGTACTATGTAGCCTGCAATGCACTAAACAATCTGGATGAATAGATAGGACTACAAACTCATAATTCTATGACCGAGCGAGTAAAATTGTCCGATCCAATAAGCCAAGGCATGGTCAAGTCACTAACTAGTCCTGCCCAGTGAAGCCAAATATGGCCAGGCAAGGGGTGTCTGCTTGAAAGTCTGCAGACCACGTTGGGTTCTACCAAGAAAGTGAAGAATTTCACATTAGCGTTATGGAAGCAAGCTTAATAAAACCTGCATCGTCTCCAACCCAATATCAATGAAACATTCTAAGCAAAAAGAAAGAAAAAAACCTAAGAAGAAGCAAACCTAGATTAATCTGACGAGAACAATCACTGTGTCGGTACCGCTCAACGATCTCTTCGACCTCCTCTTCGCTCAGCGGCTCCCCAAGCACAGACCTCCGCTGCTCTTCCATATCCTCCTCCGGCGGGAACTCCCCAACTGCAGGAGCAGAAACACCGTTCCATTTCCGGTCAAGCCGACCAGGGCCAAACGGAGAGAAGCGCGGGGGCTCGCGGAACCCTATCGGCTGCACTGAGGTATCAGTCTCCGAGTAAGAGAAGCGGAAATCAAAGGGAAGGTCAGAGTGGAATGGAACCGGGGCCTTTCTCCGGCCCGAAACTAGGGTTCTGGGAGGAAGCTCGGGCTTCGGTTCTGCGATTTTGGAGATCGGGGAGTAGGGAGGGTCGTTGGTTTCGTCGCCCTGAGATGCGATTTTTTTTTTAGAGCGGGAAAGGAAATGATGTGAGGGTAGGAACGAAATGAGAGAGTTTTGGCTCGGCTTTGGGGTTTGAAGAGAGTGGCGGATTGAGGAGAGCGGATTACGGCGCATCTGGAAGCCGGTGACGGCGGAGGTTCACCGGCTCTACAGGCTGATTTGGGGTTCAACGGAATGATGACTGCGGACGATTATGAGATAATATTTATCGGAAGAAAAAAAAGTTACGTGAAATAATTATGTTAAGATGAACTTATGTGTGTGTATATATATATAATTTATGACTGTTTGGTTTGAAATTATAAAAAAAAAGTCTAAGCGTTTACAAATACAAATATAGATTCATAATTTATTGAGGGTCTTTATTAAATTTAGGGCTTTGAAAATTATTCTTGAATGAACAGAATGAGATGCTATTTATAATTGCCTTGTGAATGATATTTTTATTATTATATGGTTATCAATAATGAATAATAAATAATGCACTTTTCAATGATTATAATATGACAAAATAATATTATTCATTAGTTGAGTTAGACTTTATTTGGGATTTTTTTTAATACAAATATTTTAATTTTTGTACTTAAAAAAAAAAGTAAGAAAGTCATTCAAAGCAAAGCCTTAGTAAGATTGTCTGGCCATTACTAGCTCAACAACCAACATTGTTGTCTTGGATCCTACTATCAAATATGTCATGAATTACTGATACGAACGTGTTAATGATACGAGTACACATATTGTGATAAATAAAAGCTTTTGCCATTAAATTAACATGAATTAAGTGAAGAGAAAATAATTGCCCTGCACTTGTGGGGTTGGTTGCTGGTAGGCCCACTGAGAGATTAGTTATGCCGCAGTGCGCCTCCTTTGGAGGTGGCAGCGAATAGATACCCCATTTTAAAAAAAAGACCAACATAAATAATTACAAGATTATTTCTCTTCTTCAAATTGGGGCTATAAAAAATGATTGTCACTTATATTTTTCATAAATATGTTTCTTCTATTGATTGTTTCTTATGAAGGGCACAAATGCTGAAAAAATAAATCATTCCATATACTTTATACAATATTAAATGCCCATCAATGTAATTATAGACCATCTATAAATTGTGGTAATAGGGAGGCTATCTACACAACTTATCTTGACTTATTGCTTGAGAGCTTAGGCTACCAACTAAGAGATATTGTGTTCGAGTCTTGTGTATGTGATGTGTCTGTGATTTTGTCTTTGTTGACCTCAATGTCCCCCCAAAATATAGGAGAGGCTATATCGATAGAGTTGGTTAGTGAATCGATTCAACTAATTCAAAACCCTCTTTGCTTTTTAATATACAATTTTAATATTGAGGGATTTTGTGTGATAAGCAATCTTTCTAACGAGTCTTCATATTATTTTGAATTTATTTAGCATTTAATTTTGCTTTGAAAATTAAATATTATTAGATTCTTCTGAATTACTTCAAGATATTTAGCATTAGGATTTAAAGAAAATTACATCATATATTATAATATAATTTGTATCATATTTGACTAATAAATTATTAGATTTATTTTTAAATTTGTAATGTATATAGATAATTTTTATTACATTAGCTTTAAACTAAATTTACTAATTTTAAAGTCCACCGTAATATAAATGATTTTAGAATAATTTTCTTAATTATAATTAGATGTTATGATATTTTTACTACCAAACAAATTATTTTAATATCTTTCAAATTTGGGATAATTTATAAATAATTTAGATAAATTTAATCTTTTAGGGATTTATATAAATCTCTTTATTTCATTCTATTTATAAATATAACACTGAAATTTGATATTACAGATTTATAAAAATGATATATATAAAATATTAAAATTTAAAATGTTGAAATAAAATGGTATGGATCCCCTTTATATAAACCAGAAAATTGTTACACTCGTTGCCGTCTAATTCGTTAAAATTTAATTGTGACGCTGCTTCTCCATGGCGTAGATGGCAATGGAGGTTGAAGGTATCCTACAATAGTCTGAAACCTACAATACAACAGTGAAATCGACGCTGTAGCTTTTCCTCTTCCCTATTTCTTTCATTGTGAGAAATCCTGCAATTCGAGATCCCCTTGCTTTGAGGTTAGAGATATAAGGCTTCTGTGGTGGCGGATCGCTGGAAATGGCGCAGGTCGTTGAGGAATGGTATAAACAAATGCCCATCATCACGCGGTCGTACCTCACGGCCGCCGTTGTCACCACCGTTGGTTGCTCCCTCGAGGTGCTAGTTTCGCTATATTTTTTATGGTTCCAAGGCTAGGGTTTGTTTTTGACAGCTTGCAGAAAATAGATATGAACTGCACTTCCATTTTATATATCTCTTGTTTGGTCATGGCTCGGTTCAGAGTTTTTCTTTTTGAAAATTTCGCACTTTTGTGGTAGTTACTGAAGAAAGTCTCATAATGCTCAAGATGGCATAGCGGATTGTTACTTATAAATCATTTTTGATAAATCTCTTGGTCGATATATCTATTTTCAAATGATTCTCATGCTTTTTTTCAGTTTAATGAATTTGGGTGGTTTGTTCTATCGGACAAATGACGAGGGTGTAGGAGAATCTGTAATTTTCCTAATGAGGTGTTGATTATCTTTTGACAGATAATATCTCCGTATCATTTATATCTGAATCCCATGCTCGTTGTTAAACAATATGAGATCTGGAGGCTTATCACAAACTTCTTATACTTCCGGAAGATGGGTAAGATATAAAAATGGAAAATTAGCGCTTTCATTTACCTGTTGCACTGTTGATATTCATATGTAACAATCAATCTCGAACATTTTAATTTAATAGCAATACTAGAATTTCTATCATTTTCATGCCCGTGGAGTTGCTTTTGTAAAAATTAACCACACTTTTTGTTAGAGTATCTGTGGTTTTATTGAACGTCAATACGGTGCTTTGTACTCAGGCTTTACTATAAGTTATTGGACTGATAAGCGTACTGTGGGATTGATTGCATGCTTGCATCTGTACTTAAGAGATATTTTGATTATTGACCTTTTTCTGATTCCGTGTGTTTGTATTCATCGTGTGAACTTAATTCTAGATGCTTTCTGTTTAATGTTGTTTTACATAGCAAGGGGGATGCTCTTCCTCTTTCCCCCCTTTTGTAAAACAATGATTCTAAAAGCATTCCATCAATTTATATGGAGTGCAATTTTATTAGTAATAGATCTAGTGGCAGGATTGTGACATTGAGTGATAAAGTCATTAAAAAGAGTGCACTTTTTAGCTAACTTAGGTTTATTGTTGAAAGCGATGATGAAATAGATGGGGATATTGTTAGTAGAATTAAAGTTGGATGGTTTAAGTGGATTAATGCATCAGGCCTGTTGTGTGATAGTAAAGTACCCCTCAAACTTAAGGGAAATTTTTATATAAGATGGTGGTGAGACTTGTAATGTTTTATGGCGCAGAATGTTGGCCATTAAAAGAGAAGCATATAATTAAGTTAAGTTGTTGCAGAGATGAGGATACTCAAGTGGATGAGTGACATACAGAATGTGAAACGAGTATATATGTGACAAGATTGGAGTAACTCTAGTGGCAAATAAGATTAGAGAGAGTCGCCTTAGATGGTTTGGTCACATGAAATGTTAACCTTCTGATGACCCTGTTAGGAGAGTAGATTTATTTGATCCATCCTATGTTAAAGGTAGAGGTAGACCTAAAAAGACTTTGTTAGAAAGTATTAAAAATTATTAGTTTTTATTAGATTTAAATGAGAATTTGACTCTTAATTGGACACAATGGAGAAAATGATTCATGTAGCCACTAGCCAACCTTACGTAGTGGGATAAATGCTTATTGTTGATGCTGCATATCAATCGAATCCTCTAGGTTGGCATCTCTTGTGCTATTTTGTTGAGATTTATTTGTAACTTCCATGAATATTTGTTATCTTTAAGATATTAAGCATACTAAATGTTCTTGTATTTTTTAAAACTTATATGACTTGTGTTCATATTTTGTTTTTTATATGCATAAATATTATTCCGTCTTTGCTAATGATTTGATCCTGCTTTTGACAGATTTGGATTTCTTATTCCATATGTTCTTCCTTGCTCGATACTGCAAGCTACTTGAGGAGAACTCATTCAGAGGAAGAACAGCTGATTTCTTTTATATGCTTCTGTTTGGTGCCACAGTGTTGACTGGAATTGTTCTCATTGGTGGGATGATACCATATGTTTCACAGAAATTTGCAAATATTTTCTTTCTCAGCAGTTCATTGAGCTTCATGATGGTTAGTGAGAAATGTCATTCTTTTATTATAATATTATTGATGTAGAACGGGTAGGAGGATTGGGTCCTAAGGGTCTTGAAGAGCAAATCGAGGGGTCTAAACAATAGCTTTTGACTCTTAGAAGTCTTGGACAACAACTCTTCTTCCAACACATCAGCTAGAGGTCTTCCAAGGGCTGAAGAAGAATGGTGGACAGCAGTTTTCCTCTTCCAGATCAGCAATTTTTAGAACTTCCAAGTTCCAAGAGGTTTGGATGCAAGACAATGAAGGAGATTTTAGGCTGCGGTTGGAGGAAGGAGTAGAATCACTGTCACGTGGAGTTTGGGGAGTTTAATGGAAGAAAATCCCACGGGACAACATTGAGAAATTTCAGCCAGCAAAGGAAATTACATAAAGGATTTAATTCCCCAAGACAAAAGGCTGATTTTGGCAATGAGAAATTCTGGACGGCGCACAAAATCTGTCCAAAAACTGGGCAGTAACTTGGACTATGACAATTCAGGATTTTGGCTCTCTAGATGCAAGAAAACTAGATGAGTATTATGGGGAATTCTCTGCCCAGCAGTGGCGGGGAATCTGGAATTAATTTCAGGGTATAAGGAGCATGCACCAAATAAGTCACAAACTAATATGGAGAGAAAGGGGAAAGGGCCGGCTAGTTATGGGAGCATTAATGGGCTGATTGAAGGCTTAATTGGGTGCATTAATTAGATAGGAGAGAGGAAGGGAGGAGGGGGCGGCAGCCCATGATGGGGCTTGATTGGCTTATTAATTGAGGGAATTAATTTGGTTTGATTGGATAGGAGAGAGAGAGGGAGGGGACCGGCCATGCAAGGGGCTTGATTGGGGGGATTAGGGAATTCTTCCAAACTTAGGATCTAAATTATGGAAAGAGGATTAGATGGAAATCTCTAATTAATTTCAGATTTGAAAAGATTGTGAAGTTTCTAAATTAAATCAATCTTATTTTAGGAAAGGATTCAAATTCAAATAAATTTGAATTTGAAATTTGAAATCCTTCTAAATTTAAGATGATCCAAATTAGGTAGGTCTTCAATTCTTTCCCTAGAAGAAATTTTGGAAAGAAAGGAATGAGGGAGGGAATTAAGGATTCTTTAATGCTTCCTTAATTTTGGGGGTTGGATTTAGAATGAATTAAGTCATCCTAATTAATTCAAAATCCATGGAAGGAAAATTTGAAAACTTTTCTAAAATAGATTTTATAATTTAGGAAATAATTTGAATTTCAAATTTGGGGAAATTTGAATTCAAAGACCAACTAAATTATGGCAATCCAAAAATAGGAATTATCCAAATTGGGCAATGGGGGATGGGAGAAGGTGTGGCCGACAGTTTGAATGGGGCGGGTAAGGGGCCTGAGGCCAGGTGGAGATGGGGACGACGTGATGGTGGAAGTAGGGAGAGGATGAAGATGACGACTAGGAACAACAAGAAGGAACAAAAATGAAAACAAAAGATAAAAGATAAAACCGCGAGCCTTGGACTCTTCCGAAGACTGACGGGTGATATGTTGCCCTCCTCCAAGGGAATTCAAACCACGAGCCCGGACCCATCCTGCGGCTGGTGGAAACTCCGACTTCCTCACATAGGGATTTCACTAACGTTCTTCCCAAAGAACACAAGTGAAAACACAAATTTTTTTATTATAATTCCATCATCCAATACAAGAGAAGGGGCCTCTATATATAGGCCTCTATATATAGGCCTCAAAAGAAATTAAAAGACACATTTGCCCTTTGGGCTTATATAAGACAAGAGGGTAATAAAGGGAAATTGTAAAATTAAATCAAAATACACTTAATAAACTAAAATAAAATAAAGTGATCTTGGTCGTCGATCTTCAGCTCCTCGGATAGGCATGGACGGTTGGATGTCCGCATCAATTATACATTTGTTACCTTTGCCAAATAGAGGGCAACAACAAACAACTCCACCCCCTACCCCACAACACACACCCCCAGCATTTGAACCATCATGATCCTTATTATTCGCCTTATCTCAGTTGTTTGGATCAGTCTTTTGAATTCTTGTTCCCCATTCATTCCCACCGACTTATATATTAGGTGCAACACTAGTTTGTTTTGCACAAAATCTTGCGCACTACCTAGGTCTACACCTATTCTTTCCTTTTCCCTTTTTTACAATGAATGACTAATTATTTTGATAAACATGCTATATAAAATTAAAAACTCGGAGCAGGAGTATTCTACTCTCAGATATTTTGTAATAAGCATCTAATTGTGGAGTTATGGGTGGTTTTAGTTGCGAATATGCATGTCTATGGTGCTGGGAACCATATAACATTTTGCACCATCCATTATATTTATCAATAATCTTGAAGGTAAATTGCTTCACCTTTAAAAACAGTGTTAATAATAATTTTCTATGCTTCAAAAGCATTGGAGGTTTGCTTTTCTCCATAACAACAAATTTATTGCTTGCTTTTATCTTTAACCTTTAAATTTGACAGTCCCTCTTGACCACCAGTAATTCATCTTTTGATGACAGCCAGATTTATGTGAAATTGTAATTTGGTACAAGCCTTATTACCTATTCTAGTAATTTGGTGCAAGTCTTTTGATAAGATTAGAGAGTTGACTTAGATGGTTTGGTCACATAGAACGTTGATTTTCTGATGACCCGGTTACAAGAGTAGATGTATTATATTTGACCTATGTTAAGAAAGGTAGAGGTAGACCTAAAAAGACTTGGTTAGAAAATATTAGAAATGATATTTTTTTTAATACCATTTAAATGAGAATTTGACTCTTAACAAGGCACAATGGAGAAAAAAGGATTCATGTAACCTATTCCACATAGCGGGATAAAAATTTGATGTTGTTGTTTTGGTTGAACATACCATATTACAAGAGGTTTTTGTATTGGCTCTCTCAACCTAGATTTTTTGGCAATTTAACATACATATATAAGCGCAATGAGTAAACATAGAATGAATAAGTTCGTCCTTTTTTCTTGTTGACGTGTGTCTTTAGAATTCTTTCATATGCTTTGGAGTTACAGATGATTGATTCATCATTGATGACCACTTCATAGTTAAATTAATTCATTTTTCATATTGTAGGTGATCTTTTTGATGACCAGGACTAATAATGATGACCTTTGCATTGTGTTTTAAGAATTTAATTCTGTATAATAGAATTAGGGTTGATCATGAATGTTTATACTTTTGTAGATGCAATGCATGCATATTATTGACAGATTATTTTCTCCTTAATTGAAACCAAAACTCCTAACCAGATTTTTTTAATTGTTTAGGTTTATGTGTGGAGCAGACATAATCCGCTCATTCACATGAGTTTTTTGGGCCTTTTCACCTTTAGAGCTGCTCATCTTCCATGGGTGAGTGCAAATATCATTTTCTACTAAGCATATACATTAATGATGTGTCTAGAATTTAACTTCATTATTTCTGGTGTGAGACATTTGGTGGTTGTAATTTCTCTCAATTTCTTAGAATATATCAATTGACACATGATATGCTTGTTATCGTGGAAATTGTAGATTATGGAAAATTATTGTTAGATTGGAATTTCTATTGTGAATGTACTGGTCCTCATGATAAAGGCAATATCATTTGTTGTGGAAGGTATTTAATTGACTAGTAAACAATTTTGATATCCCGTCAATATTTATTAAATTATTGTACAATGTTTGTCAGTTTTCAACTCGAAATATCCATGGATAAAACTTTTCTAGTTTTGATGGTTCTAACCGCACAGGCCTATGCAATTTTGCCATTGCTCTTAGATCATAGGTCTATGGTTTCTCCATAAATATGATCGTTACATAACTTTTTGATGTAACTGGTTTAAATAAGCTCTTTATGTAGTTATTTATTTATCTCCTAATAAAGGCATTTCCTCACTTCATTATAGTAATCTTCATGTTCATGGCATCATCTTAGCCCTTTTCTAATTTTTTATAGAACCTCTAAAGTTTTTTGTCGTTTGTGTGTGTTTTGGATGTCTAACTTATTTATCTGGTAGCTGTTTCATTCTCCCTTCATGTTAGTCTAAAATGTGTGTTTCATCACGATATTGTCTAGTAGTTTATATCCATGTAGTTATTTGCTTTATTTTATGCATCGTAGACCACATGGCTGTCTAATTAAACCCATTTTGAATGTCATATGATTTATTTGTTTGTAATGTGCCTTTAGTTTATACATGTTTTTTTTGCATGGATCACTTGTATTTTACTTTAGTGCCAATATCTCGATCATTTTGGCTTGACTTTTTGCATGTACTTCTAGCCATTTCTTTATTTCTTTATAGGTAAGAGATTTATATTTTTATTAAAAAGTCTAGTGGTTGCACTGTTATTTTTCTCAATATAGACAATTCATAAAAATTTATTCATTAGTTAACTAGAGATATTGGCATATACATTAATGACTTTTTTTCTCCTATCCCGTCATTTGATTTTGATTCTCCAATATCTTCTTCACCATCTCATGAGATCAAAAACCTTGTCTTCCATGGAAGATATTCGATCCTCCACCGTTGCTTTCATTTGTCTCATTTCTCCTTCAAGGCTTTATTCCAACGCATTCACTTTCTTGGCCTCCATCAATCCCTGTATTTTTGTAGACTCAAAAATCTGGATCTTGAACCCAAAAACAGCAAACAACCCCTCCTGCGACAAAAAATAAACATCTGGTTTTCACAAAAATTGCTCAAAAACAGTCCCAAAATCTGCGCTAATACCAATTGGATAGGAAACAATAGGAAAACAGGAATTTAATCCTGCAATCAGAATTTTAGCGGTTTGATCAAGCAGAATTTAGTGTTTTTATGGAATAAAAATGCAAAAAAAAAAAAAAAACTCTTGATTGCTAGATAAAGAAAGAAAATAGCAAGGTACAATTGATCCTCTATTCAAGAGGAGGACCAATATTTCCAAAACTCTCTAGACACCACTAGAGCCCAAGAACACCAAAGCACTCAGAAAATTAGCCACAAAAAGATGCCCTAACCCTAGTACAACTTGTCAACTCATAAAAGAAAATACAAAACTAACACCAAATAACTAAACAACCCTCAAGCAATTTGCATTAATTATTGGATCCCACCCCATAGGAAAGTGGCTTAACAGCCTGCGAACAAGTAGGCTGACGCCTGCTGTAATGCAGGAGCTGACCCATTGTTTAGGCCGGCTGGACCGGTCCTGGATCTGTTTGATTGTATCATAAAGCTGTTATTCTGTGGAAAAAATTAATGTTCTTCTTCTCCACAATGACGCCTGCTGTGCTTCCCGAGTGCTCCCAGGAGCTCGAGTCGAACTCTTGAGCTTACGAGTTAAAGGATGAGTCGATTTCGAGTTCATTTTTTTGGTTCAATTCGAGTTCGAGTTCGAGTTCGAGCCAGCTTTCTGATTGACAAGCCAAGCTCGATAACGCCACTATTCGACTGTCCACAAAATTTTAGAATCAAAGAAGAAAATGGACCTATTAGCGTAGGGGCTATATCCTTTGAGACTTGCATGCTTTAGCTTCAACATATATTTTCCCCAATTAATTGAAGTCCTTGTGTCTTCAATTCTCACCTGTCAGGTCTTTCACCTTAGAAACATGAGTATTATCTTCAAAATGGTTACAAACACGAACTTTGATTTGTGTTGGACAAACATTTTTTTTTTATGGCTTGCCTACTTGAATGGAGATTGAGTGAGGTCAGGGTTATCTATTGCATTGAATAGTGTAATGCATCTATCTAGATCTTAGGAGATTAGGCATTCATATAATTTAGAATATTAGCAAGGATGGAGGTAATTGAATTTTCATTTTGAGTAGCTATGCAAATGATTAATCTTTTGTTTATTTGATGCTTAGTGAAAAGGTAGAAGAAGGTCAGGTAGAATGAGCCACTGTATAATTTTTTTTAGATGAAGTTTTGAAAGTGTATTGATACCCTAATGCCTTAGAAACATGAATACTCTGAATTTTTTTCACGGTGTGTAATATTCTATAGGCTTTAAGGATCTCTAATAGAATGACTAGTGCCTTGCTAGTTTATATTTTTAGAGTAATGGAAATTTAAGGTGTGGATCTATTAGTTTTCAAAAATATTTGAGCTGTATTGTTGAACTGAGTGAGCTCTTACTATATTTTTTCTACGTTACATAAATGTTGACTGAGTATTTATTTGGTTGCCTGCCCTTTCTATACAGGTCCTTCTGGTTTTCTCTATTCTTGTTGGAACCAGCACATGGGTTGATCTTTTGGTACGTTGGCTGCCTTTCTTAGTTATGAAAATGTTAAATAGAAATAATTTGCCTATTCTGCATTTGCTGATAGAATGATCAATATAATAAACTATCAATGTGAAGGAACTTCTTTGTTATGTGTACTAAATCCTTAGCTCTATCTTGATTTTTCATGTAAACTTAAAGTTATTTTCAGATCCAGTTAATTGCTGATAGGTGGCTGATTGTCTGCCTGCCCCTGATGGCAATATTGAAATTGATTTTGGTTTCCTTGTTGCCCACTTACCTTGCATTGAAATTAAGGGTATATTCTGTTTGTAGAAATCCGTAGGGAATTCCTTTCTTAATGATCATGTGGAATGTATATCAGAAAACTAAAATGAGAAAATGAGCAAACTGTAGCTTTCTAGTCTGTATTGCTTTAACTTCGAGAGAGCAGCGAAGTGACTCTAAAACAATGAAAGAAAAGAAATAAAAACCAGATGATGGCGTGTTCTCTTTATGTGGTTGTATTTCCAAAAGTTTTACTACACGAATTACTATGTTATTCCGTTGAAATTCTTCTTTGACTTTTTTTAGCTCTTTATCTGGACTCTGGAGCCTTTTAAAATAACAATGTGCTGCAAACACCAAACCAAAATTAATTATTATGAAAAAGATACAAAAATAAATAATTGATTTTTTGCTGGATGAATATGTCGGAAATTTGTCTATAGACCCCGCAGTCTTATACTCATAAATGCAAAGTCTTTAAGCACCGATTATTGGAGGGACTAAACAGCTAAGTTGGACAAACAAATTCAGAAACTGCAACAATACTCTAGAAAATAATACTAGCAAAACAGATAATTAAATAGCTGAGTACGAGGAAAAATATTAGAAAGTGACAATTAATGCCCTTCGGGACAGTTGTGCAAATCGGAATATGACCAGTAAATCTGACTTAGTTGCTGCGCGTATTACTTAATTTGAGCTGAAAACCTGTTTTATTTTGAAACAGGTATCTAACCAAGTTTTCAGCACACAAGGCGGCGTAACTGCAGTTTTGTTTTCCTTCTAAGAGCTTATTTAGTTGTTTGAATATAGAAAACACGTTTTTAAAAGCAATGATTAAGCCCATACCTTTTTGCTCTAGTCATGGATGTTCCTACTAGACATTTGCAAGAGGAGTTACTTTGGTGTATGTTTTTTGTTGATGAAATTCTTCCTGTTGATAAGGCTGGAGATAGAGTTCAAGATAAACTTGAATTATGGAGGTCAACTTTGGAGTCTAAAATTTTTCATTTGAGTAGATCTAAAACCGAATATATAGAGTGTGATTTTAGTAGTAATAGATCTAGTGGGGTGACTGTGACTTTGGGCGATCAAGTCATTAATAAGATAACATATTTTAGATATCTTGGGTCTATTGTTCAAAGTGTTGGTGAAATAAATGGGGATGTTATTAGTATAGTTTAAGTTGGATAGTTGAAGTGGAGGAATGCATCAGTCATGTTGTGTGATAGAAACATACTGATGGACCGGGTGAACCGGTCCCGCCTGGACCGGTGCGGGTCTACAGGCGGAAGAGAGGGGGGGCGGGGAACCGGCTGGACCAAGGGTACCCACCCACTTAAGTGGGGGTATTTTGGGGATGGGAGGATCTTTTGGAAAGGGTATGAAGGGAGCCATTAGGGTTTAGTTTTTGGCATTATGAAAAGTGTATTCTCTTTCTAGTTTTCCTTCCTCTAGTCTTTTTCTTGTGCTTTTCTAGGATTTTCTTGTGGGAGATCTTGTCCTTCTCGAAGTGGACAAACTTATCTTGTTTTCTCTTGGCTTTCTAATGCAAAGGTTCTTACTTTTCATCTCAACCCTCTTGTGATTGTTTCTCATTTGGTTTTGGTGGAGAAATTTCTCCTTTTGGAGGGGAAATTAGGGCAAACCCTAATTTGTGAAACCTAAGGCGTATCACATACCCCTCAAATTTAAGAGAAAATTATATAAAATGTTGGTGAGACGTGCAATGTTTTATGGTGTGGAATATTGGCCATTAAAAGAGAACCATAAAATTAAGTTAAATCTTGCAGAAATAAGGATGCTCAAGTGGATGAGTTGCTTCACTAGTAGAGACAGAATGTGAAAGGAGTATATACATGAAATGGTTGGCTTTGCTATGACGGCATATAAGATTAGAGAGAGAGACAGAGAGTTGCCTCAGATGGTTTGGTCACATAAAATGTCATCCTTTTAATGACTCGGTTAGGAGAGTAGATATATTATATTTGGTCTATGTTAAGAAAGATAAAGGCATATCTAAAAAGATTTGGTTAGAAAATATTAGAAATAATTTTTTTTATTAGATTTAAATGAGAATTTGACACTTAACAGGATAAAATTGTGAAAAAAGATTCATGAAGCTGACCCTACGTAGTGAGATAAAGATTTGATATTGTTATTATTATCATTTAGTTAGATGTGAGGTATTAATATTTATTTTTTAGTGTTACAAACACTTTGATATTAAGTAGATGCAGAAATTGAATAAACACCTTGCTAAAAGTCTGATATCAACAAATCCAGAAATTGGCAGGAGGCAAAATCTAAAGTAGAACTCGCACAAACACTTATAGATTGAAATTATTATGAAAAAATGACAAGATACAATTGGAGAGGAAAATTCGGCTCTCCACAAACCCTAGACACCGCTAGAGCTCTCACAATCTAAACCAAATTCCCCTTTTAGCAAATACAAGCATGCTAAAAAAATTGAACCATAGGAGAAACTATATTTAGCATACAATTACCAAATCCCAAAATTGCCCCTTGCCTTTTCCCTTTAGACCACCCCTCCCTATTCAAATTTCTGCTATGGGCTCCACTCTAAAGGGGATGAGATTTCCCCCCCTCTTATGTTCATTGTCCGCTTGGCTTCCGTCAGGTGTAGACCCTGGCCAATCTAGGATGGATCGGCCGAATGACTGGTCCAGTGAGGATCAGTTCAATAATACCCCCTCCCAAAGACTCGCCTTGTCCACAAGGTGAAAAGATGGCAACTGCTACTTTATCCTCTCACAAATGCTTCCAGGTGGGGTCGTAGTCAGGTATGTTCTTCTATTGAATGATTGAATCAACACTTCCTTGATCCCTCCCTTTCCTCTTCGTGCCCCTTTTAACTCCAATGATTTCAACACCACCTCCAAATTCTCGGTCAGTGTCACTGGTAACTCTAGACTTGATGTATAATCACTGATAGCTCTCCTCAACTGTGACACGTGGAACACCAGATATATAGTTGTGGTCGGGGGAAACTTCAATCTGTAAGTCACTGATCCAATCTTCTTCAGTATCTCATAGGGGCCAAAGTACCTTGAGACCACCTTCTTGTTTTTCCCTGTTAGCTATCATCCTTTTTCTATAAGGACGAAGCTTCAAGTATACCCTATCACCTAGCTCAAATTGAATGTATTTTCTGTGCCCATCCGCCTGCTTCTTCATGATCTGGTAAGCCCTCAACAGATGCTTTTTTAACTATGTCAATACCCTATCCCTCTCCTCCAAGTACTGTTCAACCGATGAGACTGGCGTGCTACTCTGCCCAAAATGCATCAAGTGAGGTGGGTCCCTCCCGTACTTCACTTTGAAAGGAGTCATTCTTGAAGCTGAATGATAGGAAGTGATGTATTAAGTAATCTGCCCATGCCAACCGCTTGGTCTATAGCCGAGGTATCTCTGAAACAAAATAACTTATATTAACCCTCATGTGTCTAGAATGATATTTTTGGGGCATCCTCCCCTCTTATCCTGATCTGACAATACCCGAATTTCAGATCCATTTTTTGTGAACACCATAGCTCCACATAGCTTTTCCAGTAACTCATCAATCACTAGAATATAAAACTTATAAGGCACAGTCTCTTTATTCAGGACCCTATAGTTCACACAAGTTATCCAGCTTCTATCCTTCTTGACCAACAAGGCTAGGCTAGAAAAAGGACTCACGCCCAGTCTGATGATCCCGACCTCCAACATCTCTCGAACCAGTATATCAATCTCATCCTTATGGATCTAGGGATATTGGTAGGGTCTAACACTAATCGGTGGCACCCCTTCTCTCAAGATGATGGTGTTATCTTGCTTCCTTGGTGGTGGCAATCCTTGAGGTGGCTGAAATTTCTCACTAAGATGTTGTATCAATGGTTGTATTGACAAGGGGATGTCTCATCTGATCCCCTCCAAGCACTGCAACTCCACCAGAAATCACCCCCCTCATTTTGTATGGTTCTCACCATGGCTTTGGATAGCCCTGCATCTCCCCTGATCACCACTCTCCTTCTCTACCCCATCACTTCCATCGACATTGCTCCCTAGTTGACCTTGGTGTCTATCGAAGTCTGCAGTCATTTTATCTCCAGGATGATATCAGTGCTTCCTAACTCCAATGGAAGTAAGTCCTCCCTCACTTGGACCCCCTATAAGGTTAGACTAAAATTTTTAAAAGATTTTTTAAATTTTCAATTCCCCCCCCCCCCCCCCCCCCCTCTAAACACTCCTATGCATGTATCCACCTTTCTGGTGCCCATCATCACCCCGTAGCACTCGGTGCCCACCAGCTTCACCTCCAATTGATCCACGTTTTGGTTGGAGATGAAATTGTGGGTAGCCCCACTTTCTATCAACACCACAATCTCCTTGCCTGCTATCTCACCTCTCACCTTCATGATGTGATTTCGAGTGAATCCCAGAATGGAGTTTAGGGACTCCTCTACCATTTCTAAGTATAAATGGGTTGTTTCCTCTATGAACTCCTCCAACTCGTCCTTGCTCTCCTCTTCTCCCTCGCAAACAATCAAGACGTGAAGGGATTGATTCTTGCATCTATGCTCGGTGTAACATACTTGAAGCATAATCCTTTTGCCCACCTCTCTTGCACCTCCACATCTGTGAGATGGCTGAAATTTCTCCCATAATGGACTCCAATGTCCCTCCCCTTCAGCGCTTCCCTTTGCCACTATATATTTCTCCCTCTGATGTTTTTCTTCTATTCTATGAGCTAGCTCCATCATCTCCTTTAGCCCTCTGGGCCTCAACACCCTGAGCTCTGCTCGGATATCTCCCCTAAGGCCCTTCGTAATAGTCCGAACTTCTCCCGATATTCCATGATTGTCCTCTCCTGAGTTAAAGCATAGAACTGCTCGTGGAGGTCTCCTTCTTGAATGGTTCATAAACTTTTCAACAAATAATCCTTAAATCCCTCCCATGAATAAATCGGATACCTAGCCTCCCTCCACTGAAACTAGGCTAGGGCTTTTCACTCCAAACATAACCCCGCCGCCATGAGTTTTTCTTCTTATGTCAGCACAATGATAGCAAATTAATGCTCCACCCGATACACCAAACCCTGAGCATCTTCCCCTTTAAAGATCGGCATCTTCAACTTCCTTGATCTCCTATCCATCCCCCTATAATTTCTCCCTCTGATAGTTCCTCCTATGTAATCATGGTGCGATTCTCTCCCTTCATCCCTTGGCTGATTTGGACCCCATGGTTCGGCCCAACCACTGCATCCTCTGGTCCCCCTCCCACCATGCCTGGGGGTGGTCTCTTAAAGGGTTCGGCCTCCCCATTCCTGCTTCCCTTTCATCTGGAAAACCCATTCCACCTGTCCTTGGAGCCACCCCTGATGCACCTGGTGGTCCTTGAGGGTGCTTTGGACTACATCTTAAGCATCTTTTTCATCATATCTTCAAAGTTTCCAAAACGATTCTCGATGACTGAGAATCTTCCCTCCACCCCATAATGTTTTCTTCAACTCCGACCTTGATTTGTTCCATCTCGCCTTCCAACGCATCCATCTTCTTGCTGCTAGGCTCCAACAACAAGAAGGTGTTGTGATATCAATTTGATAGGAAGTAGATGCATAAATTGAATAAACAACTTGCAAGAAATCTGATTTCAATGAATCCAGAAATTGGCAAGAGGCAAAATCTGAAGTAGAACTCACACATTCAGACGAACGAGCCATGGAACATTACTTTTTGTATGGTAAATGTATGACCCACGCCAGCCCTGTGAAGGAGCAGTAATCCCAGCTCCTACGAAATGATCAGCTGGTGTACTAAACTAAAAACTTTTTATCTGATTTATGTTCTTTTTTTTTCAGGGTGTGATAGCAGGCCATGCTTATTATTATCTCGAAGATGTTTACCCCCGAATGACAGGTCGGCGACCCCTCAAGACTCCCAGTTTCATCAAAGCTTTGTTTGCAGATGATAATGTTGTTGTGGCCCGACCAGGAAATGCCCAATTTGCCGCCCCTCCTGTGCAGGAACCCCATCAAGATTAATCATACAATGATTCATAATATTTTAACGGTTGTTTAGAGTTCCAAGCTTTTATAATATATTATTGATATTCCAAGTCAGTAATATTTATCTAGAGGCATATATTTTCTCTGATGTTGGCCACTGATTTTTCTTAATGTGGGGTCGGTTTGGTTCCATGAAAGGTTTGATTGGTTTTTAGTCTTCTGTATATACTGTCGCAATTTCCTTTTTTTTTTGGTCCTTAAGAACTGGATTCTGGGCAGTTTATGTGTAAATGCTCATTCTAATAACAACAAACTGCCTTCTTTTGAGCTGTTTTTCGAATTGGTAAGGCTGCAATCAAGCCGAGCCGAGCTTCGGTCTGTTTGGATTCAAGCTCGTTTGTCAAATCATGCTCAAGCTCGACTCGAAGCTTGTCGAGCATCTTGGTCTGCTGTTCAAGCTCAAGCTCAAGCTCATTTAAAACTCCATTGTTCGAGCTCAGCTTATGTTCAGGTTTGAGCTCGTTTAATTTCGAGCTTGTCGAGCCTCTTATCAAGCCGAGCAGCTTGGTGTTGTTCCGCCCAGCCGCTTGCTTGCTGGCTGTTCGCTGTTAAGTAAATGGGCTGCAAATGTATTTGTTTTAATATAACAAAATCCCTCCACTCTAGGCTGTGTGGGGATAAACCATCACAATTTTTTTAATTAATTAAGGTATAATATTTTTTTAATTAAATGAGGCATAATCAACTTTTTTAATCGAGCTTTTTAACGCGCATATTCACGAGCTTTAAATGATGTTGTTTGTAAACATAAATGAGTTGAAAGCTAGGTTGCTCAAAATTGTTTATTTAGCTATTGAGAATTGTCAAAATTGTTCATTTATCTTATCAAATGAAAATAAACGAGCTCTTATCGAGCCGATTCACAAGTAGTTTGTCGAATGCTCGATTCATTTACAGTCCTGGAAATTAGGAAGCTGCTTGATTGAGTATAGCATTAAGGAAAAATGTAAAGTTTTGAATATTTAAAGTATTTTATGCTCCGATTTGTATCATCCTTGATAAAATTGTGTTTAATTGAGGGGAACACATCACTTAGCTTAAGCCTCTTATTACATACTAGCTATTGTGTTCTTGAAGAAAAAGGTTGTGGAAGGGCCAATGATCCTTATTAACATGGATGGCAATGGTGTAAATGCCTACACATTCACTTTGACATCAATATTTAGTATAAATTATTGAAGAATGAAGCTATTAACTCTAAATTATTAGGATATTGATATCAATGATATATTGATCTGATGATTGGTGTTTCTTAGTAGGCTTTTCATTGTGTAGCAAGATATAGCGTACCTGTTGATGAAGATAGAATAGAGCTTAAAGGAAAACAAAGTTTATGGAGGTAGGAAGTGGGAGAGATTCTGGCCGGTTGTTTTTCCCTTAAAAAAAGAGGAAATTATACACCAAACGAGAAGCCTCAATGGTGACCATGGGATAGCTTTCTTTATTATTTTTTAGAATAATTTTAAAGCATAAAAATTTTTTGAATTAAGAATTTTGTACTAAAATTTACTTTAGAAATAATAAAAAAGTGAAATCTAGAATGAAGTTGCTAACAAAATAAAAGCAAAATTTCACAAAATAAAATTTTTATAAATGTATAACCCCACAACTCAACTCCCACCAAAGGTTGAGGATAGGCTCAAACAGGATTAATTATTTTGTGCGGAGGCTGAATGTCGTCCGGAGACCAACCAGAATGTGTCACGTCACCCCTTGCTTGATACCGCGGCTCGATACTGCTGACGTGGCGCATTCTGGTTGGTCTCCAGACGACGTTCTATGTCCTGTCTCTGCACAACAAATAATTTCTCCTCAAACAAAGGCATTTAAGAGCAAAAATTCAAAAGTCAACGGGCTGCTACGGTCATGTAGAATCTAATGATTCTTGTGAAAGGCAGGCAACAAATTTTCTTATTGCTTGCCCAAAGCTCAACAAAAGCTTCCCAATGCCAATCCATAGACCAACGGATCAGAGCCCAACATCACAAAATGAAACTTCCATGCATAAGCAGAATACAACGAATAGATAATAGAGCCACCCCCAATAATTCGATAGGTGAGCCCAAAAGAGCAGTCGGAATGATGAAAGAAGGAAGCAACAAAGAGAAAGCCAACGTCCAATGGCCATTTGGCAAAGATGCCTGATATAAATTCTGAAATGCAATTGACAGTTTAAAATAATATCGAATGTTCGCTTCAACAAAAACATTAACAACACTAGGTCTTTGTCCTACTACATGGAGTCAGTTACATGAATTCTTTTTCTTCATTGTGTTCTATTGTGAGTCAAATTCTCCATTAAATGCTCTGTTCACCAACCAAAAATGCCAATGCCATCTCCAATCTATGGCTTCTAATTTTCCCTCTGGAAATATGCTAGTTGTCTTCCATGGTGGACGAAGGCCATATCAATTCCAAGAAATGCTTAAGTAATACTAGAAAGGCATTTGGGCACAAACAACTTAGGCATCAAAGATTTGGTATCAAGAAGAAGATAACGACAACTGGAGATGTGAACAGCCAGCAAAGATCATCAATGGGAGCTGTATGCGAAGAAGAAAATGGTGGTGGCAGTTGCAGATTGAGGCCGCAAGGTTTTCAGCTGATCCCGAGATTTTGACCGATCAAACTGCAGGTAATAAAGAAACTGGTTGTAACAATGGAGCACCTGAGTGAGATTCTGGCAATCAAGCGTCTTTGAGACCAACCCGGTGATCATTGTCAGCATCCAAGAAGATGTCCTTGGAGAAGAATTTCTGCTTCCCCAACCTTAACTTTTCCTAATGCATCTTTTCAAGTCCTCTCTCTTTCTCCGCAAAATTTTTACACCTGGAAGTGCTGAAAATGGTTAGAAAATGGTTATCATTGTGATTGAAAAATAGGAGAAATAATGAACCATATTGAGAGAAAACAGTTGGTTTTGGTGTCAAGATTGCTAGAAAACAAATGTCACCCTCAAGATCAAAATTGGCTTTGATATTACTTTAAGCAAAAGGATATATAGAAATAAATCAGAAGCAATATATAAATTGTCAACGAGAAAAATAAACATATTTAGAATATATAATTATGTAAGATACTCTTTTAATGTTTTAAATATTTTTCATTGAGTTATACTCACTCCTGTTGTTTATATCTGTAAGTGAGTTTTCAGCAATGAATGAGAGGCAGAAATGAGGCGACTTTAAATTTATATCTGGAAAATATTTTTGCAAATCAACTGGGAAATTACTCTGAAAACTAGAACAAGATGCCCATCTGATTGGCTAAAAAATGTTGAAGCTTTAGAAACAAACAATGTACAGTGTCAACTTTCCAGAGAATGGAAATGACATTATTATAAGTTATTGGGATTCCAGAAATGGTGCACTACAAGAAATAATACCGCAAGCAGGTAAAGTCATTCTAGCTAATTTATCTGATATATCACAAGCCTATATTTTTGATCTCTTTCGGAATAAATTTTCAGTATTCGTTACAGATAAAAACATACCTCAACGTTCCACAATCTACATAGGCAAGCTATCTTCAATCTTATTCCACAATTCGACATTCCATGAGAATTTTCCCTTTACCATTTCCACAATCTCCCTTGCCTCCTTGACCTGTGAAGCTCCCACAAGCCCATCGACAAGCACCTTCATCGTAGAGAACCGTGGCACCCAGTTCCTTTCCATGCTCTCCCTGCAAATCGCAAGAGCCGAACTAAAATCCCCACCTTTACAAAGATAGTGCACCAAACTAAAATAGCAGCTGCTCTGCGGAACCAAACCTCTCCTCCCCATTTCTTCAAACAACCTCTTTGCCTCCTCCAGATTTCCTCTGCAACAATAACCTAACACCAAATGATCGTAAGTCACCCAATTCGGTTCCAGACGCCTAACTCTCATATCCCTCAACAACTCCTTGGCCTCATCCGGTCGCCCAAGCTTGCACAAGCTCTGAATCCTAATGTTATAAATCGACAACCCCGCATGCCGGCCATGCTTTTTCATCAGCCAAAGAACCTTCTTCACATCATCAAACCGTTCCTCGCGATAAAACCCAGAGAGAGAGATGCTGAATGTAGTCAGATTCGGCTTGATTCCTTTACGAACCATTTCGTCTAAATAGGAATAAAACGTTCTGGATCCTCCAGACTCGCAGAAGGCCTTGATGACGGTGTTGTAGGTGACAATATTAGGTTTAATACGGTAGGAAACAGGGAAGTCGCGGAAGAATTCACCAGCTTGGAGATGCTTATTGGAGAGGATGCAAGCGAAGAGGAGGGCATTGAGAGAGCGGAGAGAAGGGGACGAGCGGAAGGCGGAGAGGGCGTCGTCGAGGAGACCGGCGAGGCCAAAGAGGGAAATAGCATGTGGAAGATGTTGATCGGAGTGGAGTAGAGGCGTGAGGAGTGAGCGGAGGTGGTGGGGGGACGAAGAGAGAGAGGATACAGCGACCGAGAGGGCGGCGCGGCCGAGGTGTTGGGCGGGGGAGAGAGATGCGGTGCGGCAGATGTTGAGGATGCTAGAGGGGTCGGTCTCGGATTTGAGGAGCGAGATAGCGGACAGGGCGCGCTGCTTGGGATCGCCGGCGGCGAGGGTGAGGACGGAAGGCGGGGACTTTGGAGAGGTGGAGGTGGAATTGAGAGGGAGGAGGTTGAGGGGTTCGAGTTGGGAGGGTGCGGTAGAGAGGCTGCGAACTTGGAGGTAGGAGATGATGCGGCGGTGGAGGAGACGTGGCCGCATGGCTGCGGCCTGCGGGAGTTCAAGGAGCCATCAAATTTAGAAGCTGAGGCTGAGGCGCTGAGCAACGACCGCGGGGAGCGGGGATCGGGGCGCCGGTAAGGGCTTGCCGTTTGTGAGTAACAATTATTAGATCAGGTGACCTGATAAGTTTGTACGTCAATAATATATTGTCATATGTTCTTATTTTTTATCGTGCGGCCCGACGATCCGACCGGATTAGAACCCGGGATTGTTATGTTCGAGTATTGTAAGGTATTGCTAGGTATTGTTTGGCAATAACGAGAAATATCGTTCTGTCAAGACGAATACCGAGCAATACCTAGCAATACCGAGCAATACCTAGTAAAACTTGGTATTGCTCGGTATTGTTAGGTATTGGTCTTCACATAATGGCATTTCTCGTTATTGTCGAGCAAAATAGACCAATACCTAACAATATCGAGCAATACGCGAACATAGCAATCCCGGGTCCGTTCTGGATCGGGTTGTCGGGCCGCACCGTAAAGAGTAAGAACACGTGGCACTATTTTACTGACGTCCGAACGTAGAGCTATGTCAAATCACTTGACCAAATAAAAGTTCGTTTGTGAGAGTCGCTACATTTTATTTTATTTTAAGGTCAAAACTCTACTAGTCAATTCCATTAACTATAGATTTTTGAGTCGCTTAAAAGACATTTACACACGCATCACATATATAAATTTTAAACTCAAAATTTCTTGATAGATAGTCAAAACTTTCAACCAATAAATCAAGACGGGCCATGTTAAAATTTAGTTGTTACAAATAAAAAAAAAATTAAAGCTTTTTAAATAATAATTTGAAGCATTGGTTTTGCTTGTCTAAAAATTTATCATCGCAGTAAAACATACACAAGTGTAAGAAGTCGCGAGTAAATTATAACATTGGATGGACTAATTTTAATTATTAACTGTGTTGACATAATATTAAGATTTGTATGGGTAAACCATTTCTTAATAACTTAATCAAATAATGATTATGGAATGCATCAATAATAATTACACATTTTTTTTAATCATGTAATAATGACATTTAATGTGATCAGTTATGACTAATCAATAACTACATCATATTCTTAGGTATCTTGATGACCTCTATCTAAGACACTCCTGTTCTTTTACTTATCATACAACCATGACAATCAAATCACAAGAAAGCCCAAAAAGCTCAAGTTACAAATTGAGAACTTTAACTCGGCTCACTCGTATTAGACATAATTAGATAAATCTTGAATCTGTTATCAAGATACACGTGGACACCATTCATTGGTCAATGTATTTAATTTCTCTTATAAATACCTCTGTACAAACTGATCACATAGTGAATTATACACATCTTCTATTTTTCCTTCCGGCCTCTTCTTTGATTTCTTTCTTAGCCTTCCTCTGTCTCCGGTTGCTCACATGGTATCAGAGCAGGTTCTCCCGTGAATACCCTGGCTTCTTGATTTATTTTTCTTCCTCTTACCCTCCCGTTGGTTTATCTCAGGCGTTCTATCTCATGGCATCCTCCTCATCAACCGCCGCCACTACTGACGCAAGACAAGATCCGACTGCCATTCTCGACCAACAACCCATCCCTCAGCAGCTAAAATTTCTCATGAGCAACATCAGAAGCATCATCTCCACTGCCCTCACTGCAGACAACTACCCACTCTGGCGTTCTCAGGTCCTCAAAATCTTCAAAGCCAATAGGTTCGACGGCTTTCTTGACGGATCTTGCACCTGCCCACCCGCCACCGATTCTACCTCTGCACAAAACTGGCTCCTCATCGATCAAAATCTCGCTGTCGTGCTCTACTCCATTATCTCACCAAGCATACTACCATATGTTCTTTTGCTTGAACATTGCTCCGACATTTGGGACACCATCACTTGCCGCCTCCAGTCGTCCACTCGTTCAAGAACCATTCAGCTCCGCAACGAACTTCATCACGTCTCCATGAACACACAGACTATGTCGCAGTATTTGCTAACTATCAAGTCGCTCGTCGACGCTATAGCTGCCACCGAATCTCCGCTTGATCCCGAAGAAGTCATCTTCTACACGCTTAACGGTCTCCCGCCCAAATTCCAGGCGTTTAAAACTGCAATACGGACAAATCTGCAACCTATAAGCCTTGATGACTTGTACACTCTTCTTTGCAATAAGGAGTTGAATCTTGTCCAAGAAGCATCCAAGGATCTCCAAAACTTGCAACTAACCGATCCCTCCACTGCCCTCTCTACCTACCGTGGCAATAACCGTGGACGTCCAAACAACAAAAGTCGTCCGGCGGCCAACAGACGATCATTCCGCCCCTGCTTAGACAAGCCCAATTCCCGCTATGTCACCTGTCAAATTTGTTCAAAACCAGGTCACTTCGCCCTCAAATGCTGGCACCGTCACGATCCATCTTACTCAGAAGACAACACCAAAACAGCCCTCTATGCACCCACCGAAACCACCAGCTCCAATGATTAGTTTCTTGACTCGGGCGCCACAAGCCATCTAACTGCCGATCCATCCCAGCTCCACTCAATCAAACCGTACACTGGCAATCAGCAAATTACCCTTGGCAACGGCAACCAAATTCCAATCCACAACTCAGGAAAAGGCATCTTGCCCACCCCGTCAGGTAATCTTCATCTCCAACACCTTCTTCATGTACCCAATCTATCCTTCAATCTTATTTCCATTCATCGGCTAACCAAGGACAATAATTGTATTGTCCTATTTTCGGCTAACGGCTTTAAAATTCAGGACTCGAAGACGGGTCGTTTACTACTCACGGGTCCTTGCCTTGACGACCTCTACCCCATACGCTCTGCTCACCGCAACTCTCACCTAGCTCTCTTCTCAGCTCAAGAAATTCCCAACCTATGGCACAAGCGACTCGGTCACCCCGCGTCCGCCGCCGTGCAACACTTACGCAGATACATTCCATCTATCTGTAATAACAATAGTACTCACTGTAATTCTTGCATATTAGCAAAAAGCCATCGTTTACCGTTTGCTCGTTCAACTACTCATACCTCACATCCCTTTGGTTTAGTTCACTCAGATTTATGGGGACCAGCTCCAGCAATATCTATTCAAGGATTTAAATACTATATCTCTTTTATAGATGATTATTCCAAATTTTGTTGGGTTTATCCCCTAATTAATAAATCAGATGCATTATTTAAATTTACCGAATTTAATAATATGATCTCTCGTCAATTTAACGCCAAACTTAAAAATCTTTCGATCAGACGGAGGAGGTGAATTCATCAACGGTAATTTTCAAAACTTGTTCCGGCAGCTTGGCATTCAACACCAGTACACTTGCGCTTATACCCCACCTCAAAATGGGGTCGCCAAACGCAAACACAAACACATTCTTTAAACCGTTCGTTGTCTTTTATTTGAAGCTCATCTCCCGCACTCGCTCTGGGTCAAAGCACTTCTCAACTCGGTCTACCTAATCAACTGCTGCATCAGCCCCTACCACATACTCTACAACAAACCCGCCAGCTACGACCACCTCAAAATTTTCGGCTGCCTTTTGCTATCCCTGGCTAAAGCCGTACAGCCCCTCCAAACTCTCTCCTCTATCCACTCCGTGCGTCTTCATCGACCATGCCACCGCTCAAAAAGGTTATCGTTGTCTTAATTCTAGCACCGGTCGTGTTTACATTTCCCGCCATGTAATCTTCAAAGAAGTCCTCTTTCCATATCGTCCCAAAGAACTTCAGCCAACTCAAGAACAACCTCTCAGTCCCACGCCACCTCTCCTGTTCGTTCCCGCTAACTTGCAGCACACCAACAAGGTCACTCAACCCACTCCTGACATTACCACCCCACCTCCCTCTCACACCACCTCCCCTCCCTCTACCACAAGCCAGATTGCCACTTCTGTAACCAACCAACCCATCCCCATACCCCCTACACATCACATGATCACCCGGTCCAAAACCGGTAATCTCAAACCCAAGGCTGTTCTAAACCTTGTTCACCGCAACTCCCAACCCGTCCCTGACCCTGTCTCGTACAACGAAGCAGCTCAACACGAACACTGCCGACGTGCAATGTCGGACGAATTTCAGGCGCTTCAATCTCAAGGCACCTGGGATCTTGTTCCCCCCTCTGCCGATCAAAACGTTCTCGGGTGTAAGTGAACTTTCCGCACCAAATACCTTGTCGACGACACCGTCTCCAGGTACAAAGCTCGCCTCGTCGCCAAAGGGTTCAATCAAGAACACGGGTTTGACTACAACGAGACATTTAGCCCCGTGGCTAAAATGCCCACGGTCAGAATCTTTCTCGTCATAGCTCTTCATCACCGATGGAAAATCCATCAATTAGACGTCTCGAATGCATTCTTACATGGCACTCTCACTCACACCGTACACATGAAGAAACCGCCCGGCTTTATCGACGCACTTCTTCCAAATCACGTATGCCGGCTGAAAAAGGCCCTCTACGGCCTCAAACAATCTCCATGAGAATGTTTTTCAACGCTCTCCGGACATCTCATTACGCTCGGATTCAAGCTAAGCTCTTCCGACACATCTCTCTTTATCTACCATTACAATGAAATAACCATGTATTTTTTAGTGTACGTTGACGACATTATTCTTACTGGTAATTGTCCGAACGCAATCAACAATCTCATCACCAACCTTAGCGCCAAATTCACAATGAAAGACCTTGGTACCATTTCCCAATTCCTCGGGATACAAGTCATACACACCTCATATGGACTACATCTAAATCAAAGTCGGTTTGCACACACCATTTTATCCCGGGCAGGTATGACTAACTGTAAACCGGTCTCTACACCCTTTCAACTTAAATCTTCCATTACAAACTCAAACTCCAATGCCTTCTCAAATCCATCTCTCTATTGCCACCTCGCCGGATCACTCCAATACTTGATGCTTACGAGACCGGATCTGTCATTCGTCGTCAACAAAGTGTGCCAACACATGCAGAATCCAACCATCGCCCACTTCGAAGCTCTAAAACGCCTTCTTCGGTATCTCCAAGGAACCATTCATACCAGGATACCTCTCTTTCGCGACAAACCACTCCTCCGATCATTCGCCGACTCAGACTGGGCAGGCGACGAAGTTGACCGAAAATCTACTACAGGTTTTTGCAACTTTTTAGGATCGTCTCTCATTTCTTGGACAGTCAAGTAACAAAACGCCGTCGCCCGCTCATCGACTGAAGCCAAATACCGGGCACTAGCCGCTGTCGCAACGGAAGTCGTCTGGATTCGTTGTCTTCTCCGTGAACTCAATCACAATCAAACAACCGCAACCACACTGTTCTGCGACAACACCTCTGTCATTGCTCTCGCAAACAACCCGGTATTTCATGCCCGGACTAAACACATCGAGGTCGATTGTCACTACATTCGCAGCTGTATCAAAGACAACATATTGGATGTTCATAATATATCCACCAAGGATCAACTCGCCGATCTGCTCACCAAAGCGCTTCCAACTCCACGATTCAAATTACTTTCGGACAAGCTAGTGGTCTCTCCCGAAACACTAGCTTGAGGGGGGCTATTAGACATAATTAGATAAATCTTGAATCTGTTATCAAGATACACGTGGACACCATTCATTGGTCCTTGTATTTAATTTCTCTTATAAATACCTCTGTACAAACTGATCACATAGTGAATTATACACATCTTCTGTTTTTCCTTCCGGCCTCTTCTTCGATTTCTTTCTTAGCCTTCCTCTGTCTCCGGTTTCTCACAACTCGAAGAATCAGCCTTTTGGGCAATCGATCGAGACAACCTACGTCCAATCAGATTAATAACCATTACTTCAGAATGTCATAATTTTTTTTAAACTTTTCAGCTAATTAAGGTGAACCCACCCGCACATCACATACACAAGCTTTGAATCCAAGATCTCTTTGGTAATAGCCAAAGGTTTCAACCAACAAATCAAGATAAGCTGCAAACATTTTTAGATATGAAGATGAATTCAACCACGAACTCAATCGGGAACCCGAACCTAAGAGCTCTGGCATAATTCAATCTAACCTAACCTACAAGCCCTCAAAATTGATCTGAATCACCCTCCATATAAAATTAATCTTGGTTCAAATCAAAACAAATTGAACCTATCAAATCTTCCAACCGACAACATTTATTATTTCCTTAAGCCTAAAAATATATCATATACATTTTACAAAATGTCCACAAAATCAATACAAAATTTAAAAAGAATCATTATAAAAGAAAAAACTTTAATAAAAAAGTCAAACAAAAATTCACACTTGACTTGTTTTCCCAAAAAAGTATGAAGAGTATGAGTACAAGAAATTATTAGAATACATTGGTGGATCCAGCTGCCGTCAATCTACACTTCACATCTGAATGTATATATATATATATATTCATGTGTGAAGTGTAGATTGATGAACACAGCTACATCCACCCTCCACATTTAATATTTTTTGATTAGAAATGAGAGTATTATAACCCATTAGAAATAAGAGTATTATAACCCATGAACTCCATGGAATCACCTGAAAGGTAATCATTAAAAGATTAACAGAAAATAAATTTTAAGAAATTATTTATTCCAAATGACTATATGTTGATTTGTTGCTGAATTCAACAACAAAATATCAATATATAAATAAAAAATAAAATAAAATTCTTATTTTAAAGCTTAAATGTACTAAATTCTGAATAAAATTACAGTTTGATAATTTGCTAACACTTGGTAGGTGTCTAACGTACACCTTGTTGATGCCAATCTAATCAAATAATTGAGAGTAATTATCAATAGAAGCCATCAATTGTCATTAAAAAAAATAATTTCATAGATAATATTCACATCATAAAAATAAAAATAAAAATGAAAAATTTGAATTGGATTAATTACCTGGAGAAGAGAGTTCCACAATCGCAGCGATACTCCCTCGTTCCACATATCTTAGAATGCGCCTTCCAATCGGACTGAACGGCGTATTTCTTCGAACACTTATCACACTTCCATTTCTTCTCCCCATGCTTCCTGCTGAAATGCTTCTTAATACCAGTGAGGTCTCCAAGCGCACGGGAGGCATCATGGTGAACGCAGGTGACTTCAGGGCATATGTAGACCTTCTTCCTCACCTCCTTGCTCGTTCTCTGCTTCAGTTTCCATGGCAGATTATGCCCTCTTCTGTGAAGCTGAAGATTCTGATCTCGTTGGAAGCCTTTGTTGCAGATCTCACAGAGGAACCGATTTGTCGCCATAAGACTCGTTGGCGACAAAGCAATCACCTCAGCTTCAGGATCTGTATAGAAGGAAATAGTATCAGACGGTTTTAATGATTTGAGTAAGAAAAATCATATTTTTTATATCATAGTTGTTTAATTTAAATAACCTGGATTGCCTGGAAGATTTCGCTTCTTCTTGGAAGATGGAGGATTAGGGTTTTGGTTGTTGGAGGAGACGCTGGCTTCGCCGGAGGCTGAGGTAAGATTAGACATGTTTTCTTCTAGCAGTTGGAGTTGAGGAGGGATTATGAGGCCTTTCATTATCGGTTTAGAGAGACAAAGAAAGAGTACTGGGCAGTAATATATGGTAGGAGGAGGAATCCAGGCCTAGGAAAAAGGAGGAACAGTGTTAGTTAATAAAGCCTGCAATGGATCTATAAGGGATATCCAACAGTTCTGTAAGAGAAAAAAAAAAAATGTGATTAGTAGCGTGTTTAATTAAGAGAATTTTCTACTCATCAGTAGATCTAAATTGAAATATGCTGCATCAAGCAAAATTAAGTGAAAATAGGAAGAGAGAAAGAGAGAAGAGAAGAAAGAGATCTGGAGCTTTAGAGAGAGAAAGAGACCGATAGTCTTAAGATAATACCTTGAGATGAAGCTGCACCAAGTCTTTATTTTGACCTGCATGCTGAACTGAACTAAACTATATGCATGAAAGAAATTAAACAAAACTATAATAAAGTTCTTGTAATAATATTATACTAACTCAATTTAGAACAATAAAAAGAGTTGAAATTAAGAACTTTGAGGGATTAGTTAGCTTTCTTGCTGAGAGGAGATTTGATCAAGAATGATTAAAGAGGAAGAGGAGAAAGGAAGAGAGAGAGAGAGAGAGAGAGAGAGAGAGAGAGAGAGAGAGAGAGGTATGTGGATGAGGGAAGTAAGCAAGCGTGCAATCGTCCACCCATTCAACACCCACAGGCCTACAGTGACGTTGCCATTTGCGTCTTTATCTGTATATGTCCCTACTAATATGAAGGAATTCCTTTGCCGTTCTTCCTGTTGTAATTAAGTTTTTTTTTTTTTTTTTTTTTTTTTTAAGTTTTTTTTTTTTTTTTTTTGTTCTCTATGTATACTATTTCTCCTCGGGCTTATCGCGAGCAATAGTTCCTAGTGAGGCGCTAATTTGGTGAGATCAAAATATGGCATTTTTATTAATACAGATACAGAGGTACAGAGCAAAATCTAATGGTTCCTTTTGTGATTTCTGGTGGATTATCAAATATATGAAATCTTGTTTCTTGTTTTATTATTTTGTATCTTAGTTTGTAAATCTATGTTCAATAGGTTTTTTTTAAAGATCTAAATAATATGTAATAATTATATAAACTAATTAAATTAAAAAAAAGTATGTGATGAAATTATTTTATGAAGTTATTGTATGTATTAATCTGAATTTAGAAATAATTATATGATATTGTAGATTATTATTAGTTTAAAGTTGAAAAGAATTTTTTTTTTGGAAAAGGTAAAAAACTAATATTATGAAAAATTTGTAGAAAAATAGAACAAAAGAAGGAGACTTTTTTTTTTAAGGGGAAACCCACAGAGGGACTTACGCGTTGATATAATTCAAAATTACAAGTCCTTAAGGGGACATTTAGCTCACTAATGCTCAAAAGAGTTACAAAATATAAAGAAAAGCAAAACCCTAAGAGCCAATAATCCCCATCTAAACCAATTACAAAATTGCCTAGATACAATCTAAGGCGACGCTGAAGAAGCGTCCAAAAAGGAAAGACCAAATCATACGCGTTTAGCCCAGTCTTTCTATAAAAATCCATCATGTAAGCTGCAAAAATTCTTCAAAAAAACACATAAAAACAAAAAAAAAGTATGCAAGAAAAGTAAACACATTAGTAGAAATAAAAGACATAAAAGATAGCTGATTCAAAACCTTACCAGAGCAGCAGTTATGAAAATTGTCCCAAGTTTGACTAATGATGTATAGGCTAACAAAATAATTCACTTCAATCCAATTAGAAATGCCACAAAATCTGATTAAAGAAATAAATAGACAAACCTGATGACCACACCCGCTTCCAGAACAAGAAGAATTACCATCTAATAAGCAGAGAGCCTTGAAGTAAGGATCAAACATAGTGAAAAAACCCCAGAACCTAATCCACCACTGAAATTTTGCACCACTAGCAACTCGTGAAACATTCAAAACAAAGAAAGCAGCTTCACAATAACCCAGCAACCAACCCAAAGAAAACTAAGCAGAGCCAGCCCAACCAAACAGAATAAGTAACATAAAAACAGACCTAACAAAAACAGCACCCAGCACTAGACAAAACAGACTCACATTAACCCATCCTGATATAGGGAAGACAAATTTTGTCAAGCTTAATCAAACCAATTAATAGATGAGGCAAATTAGCACTACCGAACTCCACATCATTATCCAGATTATAGCCAAATTTAGTCAACCAATCAGCACACGCATTACCTTCCCTCAAAACATGATTAATATAGCAATTGCGATTAGAGATAGCCATACGAATTCTTCTAATAAGATAGAAAAACTGAGGAGAGAACACACTATCATTCTTAATAATTTGAATTAATAAAAGAGCATCCACCTCAATTTCGACATTAACATAACCTCTTCTCTGGCAAATCTCCAGCCCCTTAGCTAAACCTATAAGCTCAGCAAAAAAGAATTTACACGGATATAAAGGGTCCACATAAGCCACCATCACTTCACCAAAACTATCACGAATAATGCCCCCATATCCGCAGTAGAGACACCCACAGAACCATCCGTGTTAAGTTTAAGCAAAGGCTGCACGTGTTTTGACCATCTAACCACCATCTCAGTTCTCACAAAGTTATCAGCATCCTTAGAAACACCGAGAAAATAAGCAAAACATTCACAATTCTTGAGATTTTTTCCCTTAATAAGATTGGTAGAGAAACTTTGAATAATTTTATTATTAACATTAGCAATAATGACATTGGCATTCATTTTAACACCATTATGATTAGCATCATTCCTATCCTTCCAAATGAACCACAAAATGAGAATATACAATAAATTTAAAATGTGACCTTTAGAATTAATCATCCAATCACTAAGCATAAAAATAATATTGCAATCACCAAAAATAGAAAGCACTTTGTTAACAGAATTAGCAAAGTACCTCCAAACTGTTTGAGCAATGCTACTATATATTGATAAAAACATGATTAATTTTTTTGATATTAAAACAACACTGGCATTTAGATGGGAGAAAAAACCTTTATTCTAGAGACGATTGTCCACCGGCAAGTAACCCTTAATACATCTCCAAGGAAGAATGGAATAAGACACAGGAATATTATTGTTCCACATAGCCTACCACCAAAAGAAAGAAAGTTTGTTGTCCAATTGGAAATTTTACTTTGAAAAGTCGTGAAAACCTCCTAAAAAATACGGGCTTTTTTCCTACCTTTAAAAATTGGGGTACCTAAATACTTGATCGGCAAAGAAGAACAATTAAATTCACACAACCTTTTGATATCATTTATCTTGCCTTGATTAGCAGAATTAGAGATAATAAAATTACTTTTATTCTTGTTTAGCAAAAGTCCACCCATATTTTGAAAACCATCTAGAAACTTGATTAAGATTTTAATATTTTTTAAGGAGCCATTAGAGAAAATGATAAAATTGTCAGCAAAACTGAGATGAGTAATAGGAATACCACCCATCGTATGGTAAAATAGAGACGGATGCCTTTTATATAATTCCTCCAAACCCATGGATAAGTAATCAACAGCAATGATGAACAAAGCTGGCGACAAAAGATCACCTTGCTGTAAGCCTTGGGAGGATTTAAAGAAACCATGATTCCTCCCATTAATGATAACATAAAAGAAACAATTTTCAATACTGTTTTTAACAATTAAAATAAAATCTTGACTAAAACCAAATAAAGATAACACCTTATATAAAAAACTCCAACTCAAGTTGTCATAAGCTTTAGTAATATCCAGTTTAAAGATACTATTGCCCCCCCCCCC